AGCAGCAGGTCGTCCCCCGTGGCCCTTGTCGTCCCCCCTCGTGCCCCGGCTTTCACTCGCGTGCTGGTCTGCGGCGATTTTCCTCGCGGTGACTCCCCAAGTCTTGCTAGATGAGGTTTGTCTAAATTGGCCTCAGTTTGGTTTTCTAGGGTTCTCAGCTGATCCAATGACTCACCGAAATGGGGCCTGGAGCTTCCCCAAAGCACCAGCCACTACTTCACCGTGCACCTTATGCTATTTATTCAGAGCCGGGGCAGGAAGGGCGATTTCCTACCAATGAAATTGCGATTTCATTGTTGGTAACTTTTTTGGCGGGTGGGGGAGGTTTCCATGTATTTGTGCATTATGCTCATACATATACAGGATGCGTAGGGAAGCTTCCTTTTCAGGAGCTGCTGAGCCGGGTTTGAGGGCAGCATTCTGCTCTGAAGTCACCAGAAGCACCGACCTACAAGAAGTAGAGAACGAAAGTCCATCTCAACCTCCCCCCACCACCTGCTGAGATGGTTGGATCACTATGGCAACCTCAGCTTGGCCTCCGTTTCCCGCAGCAACACCAGACCTGGACCCAGTTGACTATGTAGAGAAACCCGCCACCCCCCCCTCGTTTGGGCAGACCTGCGGTCATGAAAAGCCCAGAATGAGACCCGTTCCGATGTGGGAAAGGTGTGGAGATCACGCTTACATTCCGGTAGGGTTGTCAGGAGAGATTGATGACTGCACGGGTTCATGAGTTTCGGTCTGGAGTTTGGAAGCTCTTTGCTTACTCATGGTACAACTAGGAAAGGCCGTCAGAGGGCCGTAGTCAGGGATTAAAATTCAGGGCAGAACCTGGAAAAGCAAGCCCGGGATTGGGTTTCAGATTGGCAGAGGTTCCCCTCTCGTAGCTCATTCAGGGCAGTAAGAGGTCGGTCCTCTCTCTGGTGGTCTCATGAAGACCCAACATGAGAAACTTGGCTAACAGGAGGCTAACGTTTCATATTCACCAGCCAAAGCACAGCTCGGGGTAAATAGGGGCCATTTCTCGCTCACGTTGACTTTCGGGTTCCTCATTAATTGGCTAGTTCGCAGATGTCATTTACAATTTTGTGTTTTCTGCATTTTCTTCTGCTGAGGCCATTTTTGGCTAACCTTAGCCCTGGGGCGCCTCACAGACCCTGAGGTAGCTTCCCACAGTGCCACAAGCCCAGATCTCCATCCCTAGCTATTCTCTTGCGAGTCTCCTCCCAAGTCCAACCGCCATATGTGTCAGAAATATCACACACGTAGACAAACTCAGCAGTTATTTATTTAAGCTCCCAATCAAAATCCCACGTAGGACATACTGGCTGGGTTTTTCATGAAATTATTCTCACATTAGCCGTGTCATAACTTTTCAGACCACATCCCAGAAACCATCTCTGTCTCTTTCCCTTCCTTCTGACCATTTGTTATGAAACAAACCCGTTTTCATGCATTCAAATATGAACAAAAGAGTCGTTTTTGTTTTTGTTAAGCAATAAATTGCTTCCATCTGTGGTTGCTTTTCTTTATTGGGTTTCGTTTTAGTGGCTGATTTCAGATCAGATATGCATCCTCCAAGCACGACTCTTATCTTTTTTCACGTTTGAAATTAATAGCAAATAGATCAGGACGCCAAAATGTATCCAAATGCACGCGTCATGTTTTTAAGGTCTGTGTGGCAAATTTGAATATAATTTGCCGCCATGGTGTAACGCTGGTCCTGGAACTGCCATGTGGGCTAAAACTGCCGATGGCCATCAAGAATTTTTCCTCCCAGTATGTTTGCAATAATCAGAGTCACGTTCTTTGCTTTAATTCTGCATTCTGTGCCATTTCCCGATGGTCGCTTTTCGGGGGTGGAGGGGCAGCGTGAGGGAAATTTGAAATGGATTGAATATTATTTATATTCCCCGTTGCTTTTCAAAAGCCTCTTTTCAGGTAAAACTTTTCAGCAAAACATAGTCAGTGATATTTTTTAAATGACAGTATAGGCTCTGCCATTGGTTCTTCTCTTCCAATGCAATATAGGATGAATTCTCATGGATTCATACCTACAGAACAGAAAAGGTTTTCAGCAAAGGCCTTTTTACCCTTTAGCTGGCAGAAAAGTTACAGCTTATGAGGTTAATAACAAGGCTGATAACGGCGCACGCAGATGATTCTCGAAGCTTCTCGCCAGAACACCCCCCCCCCCCCCCCCACGGTGCTCCAGCACTGAGAGGCGTGTTTTACCCCTTAGGGCAGCATCTGCTCCGTTCCCAGTTAGCTGTCCCTGGAATTTTATCAGCTCAACACCACAAATCTAACATTGATAAACACGTTATTCATCCGAGTTATTCAAATCGCTAAAATGGAAATAAGGGGAGGTTTAACGCCGATAGATTATAGCTCATTGAGGTTAGTGGCGAATCTAATGAGTGACTGATGTACTGCTGTGATCTTTCCAGCCTAAATGCTCTGACAAATTACATGTGATCAGTAGTACTGGACGAGTGGGACGGCGAATCGGCTGTCAGGCGAAGAATTACTAGCTAAATTGTACAAAATAGTGTATTCGTGCTGAAAAGGGAAAGATTGGCAACTGCTGGCTAGCTCTGGCATTCATTCTTCCCGGGGTACAGTGGGGGGTGAAACCCGCTCCCTGGGCATGGGTGGGGTCTCGGTTAGAGTCCCAGAAAGTTTCAGGGTTTATTAACCTATCAGCCTCACATAATTAGGCATGGATGAGCCTCTATGGGTCAAAGCCAATTCCTTAAAATAAAAAAAAATCCCAGTCTTTTTGTTTTTGTCCATTGGATTTTCCCTTGGGTCTTCTTTTCTTGTCTATCCCTTCTGTCATGAACGCTTCCAATGTGTGAATAATGACTTGTGTGATACAGGTTTTCATTAAATACAATATATAAATCGAGCTAAAGTGAGCCTAAAGCTCAAATTACTCTACACACGGTCAGAGACACTAATCACAGCGACGTACAGCTGACACGTGGTGTTTTATTATTCTGATCTAAGTATTGAATTATTTGTATGGGTGTTAGTGCAGTACATCAGTTACTCACAGACAAAACGCCCAACAGGAGCTATTTACTGAGCAGCTCATTTCTGTTGAATTCATTTACTTTTCATTTAGTACATTTTACAAAGCAAAACTGTAACCATCTACCACCAGCTATACTAATATATCAGAGCTATACTAAGCTATTTAGCAGGCATATTTCAAGCTGAAATATCTAATCAGCTTTTACAAGACCACATATCCCAGTCGCTGGGGAAAGCGAACTTCCCAGTATGCCAGTTAGTCTTCGCCTTCCATCTTGGCCAGTGATTCTCTTGACTTACGCCAGGTTCTCTGTCAGAGCATAGAAAAATGCCACGTTTCTTTGAGCAAGACTGACTGAAATCAGTCCGTTTCGCCAGGAAATGCTCAGTTTGGGCAAAAACCTCAGAAGAAATATTTGGAAATTGAAGTAGCTGGCAACACAACGACTGCAGCTGTAATCTAACAGGAATTAGCAGGAATTAGCTGGACATTTTTTGCAGGAGTTTAGAGCTGTACTGAATCACAAGAGATTACGTCCGTGTTGCTGTTTGGGCTGAGAGCCCTGTAACCCACTCTAATGACTCTCAGTTGGTGTGGTGTAGGTCACCGGGACTCTTATGGAGTCCGCGGACCCAGACCGGTGCAAAATCACTGTTCATCATGTTGATAAATCCAGGAACTGTGCAAAAATGGCAGGAATCGTTTCCGCAACCACTCAGAAAGAAGCATATTCACAGTTTTAATGACAGGTAATCACCGGAGGCGGATGGGGAGGGGGGGATTATGTTTTAACGTTATTACGGTATTTTCTGGAATTCCGTTACATTCTGTGCAGCCCGAGGGGGAAAGATGGCGGCTCGATCGTAACAGGCCTTTCTTCTTGTTGCGTTTCCGTGCGACTCCATAAAAATTCATCTGATGCGGCGACAGAATAAAGGGCGGCACGGCTCCAGCCAGCCGGCGCGGCCCCCGGCCCGCAGAGCCCTTCAAAAGCCCGGCGCGCCCCCATGTTTATGCATGTACACCGTGCACAGGTACGAACAAGAAAATCCCTGTTAAGTTGTCTTGTGCCACTTTGTTGCGAGCTGTCCCGCCGATGTGCGGAATGTGGAGGGGCCGCGTGAAGCCCCCAGACTCGGCGTGGGGGGGCTTTCAAAGGCCGGTGTGAGCCTTCAGTAGCTCCGCCAGACCCCCCCCCCCAAAACCCCCCCCCCCCAAAAAAAAAAACCTCTGGACTCCCCATCACAGTTTGCCCGTGGTCACATTCCATCATCCTCTCTCTTATCGAGTCTGTCCGACTCCAACATCAAATGCACTCCAATCTCTCCACCCCCCCCCTTCCGGCAGACAGACCTGCCATCTGATCGATACGATAGAGGTCACTCAGAAGCGGGGGTGGAAAAAATGGAACAAGAGAGCCATTATTTTAGTTGGTTTTTAATGCTATTTAATTATTATTCATTAATATTCATTGCAGAAAATTCTTATTTGCAGATAAGACAATATCTCTGCAAGTATTTAGCACGAGAAAATAACTATGTAAAATATTAAATTTAAATGAAATGCTTGGTATAACATCCATGTAACGACACATTGTTTTCACCATTGTACTTATCAATACCAGCCTCTTGCCATAAAAATACTGGCGTGAACCCGGCCACCCACGCAGAACCACTCAGCACGTGTGGTTATAAATAAGCCCCCATTGCCAGGGTTCGGTGAAGCAGAACGCGCCCCCCCCTGTCATTAATTACGGGGTATTTGTGAGGTTTGGTTATAATTTTCATGACAGTGACAGTAGCTTGTTTATAGCATTTGACTGGAAAGTGATTGGGTGGCGGGTGTGAATTTGGTGCCACTCGTGTGTTGAGTGTGAGCCCTGGTGCCTTCCTGTCACACTTGCTGTGTCCTGGCCCACTGTGCTGGGATGACCCATTCTGTCCCCTGTGTGTCTCCTCAGGACTGCGGCCTGGTGGTCCAGCCCGATCTGCCCTGTGGCCTGGAACCCCTGTCCCGTGCTGCCGCCCCCACAAGGCCTTGCCTGTCCGGAGATGCTCCAGGTCACCACCCCCCCCCCGAACAGACACGTGTACACACATAAAACAAAATTAAAACACATGCACGCAATCTGCAAATATAGACGCTCCCCAGATTACGATGGGTAAGTGTTTTTCACTTTCAGTACATCATTCAATAAATTATTGATATTCAACACTTGCATTTTTTGCCTTATAGTATTTTCGCCTTGCAATAGGTTTATCGGAACGTAACCCCCGTCGTAACCTGGGGAGAGGCTGTACATTGCAAAGCCAGAGCAACCATCTGAGCCAGAAATTGACTGTGTATCTGTGAGATTCTGACTTAACAAAGAAGGCTTGCTGCTCTATCTTACTACCAGTGAGGGAATCTTCTTAAGTGTTCCACAGGTGTTTGGTCATCGAGGCGTTGTGTCCTTCTGGGGGTCATGCAACCTCATTTATAAATTGACAATGAATCCAATGTCCTGAAATGTCCCCTAAGGCTACTATAAACTCTCTGGAGACATTTTATAATGTGACAATTGCCGACTCTTTGACAAGCTTGATGAATATGATCAAACTGTGTGATAGGAATTGATCAAATATTCCCTTTTTTCATTTCTGTTTCATGCCATTTGTCAGTCTCGCATAACTAAACACCAGCAGCTTTTACTGGGGGGGGGGGGGGGGTCATGGTGGGTCGGCATTTGACATAAATGCCAAAGTTTTAAGGGGCGACCTGAATTTATAGCATAAACAAAATGTCAGGTTGGTCCTGGTGAGAGGAACGGTGTCAGGGTCACAGCTGGCCTCTCGGTGGAGGACGTCCGTAAAGGTGATTAAGCGTGAGCTCGTCGTGGCGAGCCGAGCGATGGGGGTGCGGGGTCGTGTTTGTGAGGACGGAGAGCATAGACAGATGGGACAGACACACACCCATGCTGGGAAGGTGAACCGGGTGAGGAGGTTGAGAAGGTACTCCCCCCCCCCCCCAGGCATTACTTCACAGCAAAGTTTTAGAACCCTCTAAGGAGACCCATCCTCACCCCGACCCACCCCCACGGAGATGAGTATTTCCACTCCCTTCCTCCATCACTTCCCCCCTTATCACCCAGCTGAAATGCTGAGGCATTGCTGAATTAATACCTGGTAAACATCAGAAGTGCGAAACCGTAAATATCATGTAACTGTGACCGTTATAAATCATCCCGCCAAATACCGCTGATGCACATACGTATTTTTTACACACTTTCTTTTTTACTTGAAATTTCTGATCAGTGTGAGACATTCGGGCTCATAGGGCATCTTTGTCTGTCTGCCCGCAGGTCGCTGGGTTGTTCCGTGTCTCAGTTGCGCTGACAACAGAACCTGTGACTGGAGGGTGGTATCCTGGCAACCGGATGATTGCTTCTACCCCGTGCTGGACGGGCGCCAGCTTCGGGACTGCATGCTGGGCAGGAAGGTGATGATGGGGCCGTGGGTCTATAGACATGCCATCAGCATGTGTTTTTCTGGTTCTTTTGGTGTGTTTGAGGTTCTGCCTGCTCATAGGGTTCCTCCAGCGGAACTGGTTCATCCAAATTGCCTTTAGTGTGAGTGTGTGTCCTGGAATGAACTATCCCCCCATGCGGGGTGCCCCTGCCTCATGCCCTATGCGTCCTGGCATGGGTTCCAGCTTTACAGAGACCCTGTAAGTGGTTATGGGAGATGGAGAGAGGGGTACAAAATGTCAAAACCCAGCAGGTCCTCTTCTGGGACTGATAACCTGAAACCTGGAAGACAAGTTGCACAACAGAACCATGCAATATGAAACAGAACCTGGCAGATCCGGTTTAAATGATGCTTTATTGACACTTACTGCTGTTTTCGAGAGGTTAAACAGGTGCCAAAGTTCATTCATAGAGTTTTAAATACAGAAGGTGTATAGATAACCCTACACAGATAAAACAAGGACATTTTCATTGCAGGGTTTTTTTTTCCCTGCAGACCTCCTGAATTTCATCTGAACAAACACAACCAGAACCAGGCTGGGTCTGTTTTTTATTTGTATTATTTCTTTAGAGATTTGAGAGACGTCCTAGACGCTCCCTGCTTCCACTCCGCGGAGGAGCCAGCCGCAAAATGCCACCAACACGGCTCCCAGTAGCTGAAAACCATCAAACACACAGGTGCTGACAGACCGTGTACCGTAGACTGAGCGCCACCCGGCTGGTACTCGGACCTGGACGCTCACTCTGGCCCTGAAAGCAGGCCCAGGTGAATACCCGAGGGCATGACTACAAGGATTTAGTCTGTTTGAGTGAACAGCTTCCAATTTAACTCCTGACCGTGGGAAGATGTTCCAAGTGCACAAGGCTAATATTTTGAACATGGGTCCCATCGCTGCGTGTAACAACAGCATTTTATGAGGGACTAAACCTTGGGTTTTCCAGTATATGTATCTATTTCTGATTCATTCTGCAAACATGATTGTGGGGTTCCTGCAGGAAGGTCTACATACATCAACGTGACAAGCTAGTCCGGTTCAATTTGTCTGGGGAATTCCCAGTGGACTTCATAAGGGTGAAACGGCCACTCAGTCGAATTCACCCAGAATGCCCCAACTGCAAGAATTTCTTGGACTGCTCCTAGTTGCAGCCTCCGGCTAAATGAATCACAGGCTCAACAAAACAAAATAGTAAATTGTTTTGGGATGGAATGGAGCACAGGGACGATGTCATCCAAAGCAGCTCCAGATTGTTCCCCAGACACCTTCTCTCTTACTCACTCTGTCTGAGTGATAAAAGGTTCAGTACATGCAGAGAATTAAACGAACATTGTCTGGATGGAGTCACAACAGGACATGGAATTCCCATGGCTTCCTGAGACATGTGTAACTAGCCTGTTGTGTGAAAGCACTTGGAAACAGTTTAGGGTGCATCAAAATCCTCACGACTTTCAAGGGCTTGGGTTTTTGAATGCCGACATTAAAGTTAAAAAATTGTTCTGTTTTTTATTGCCGTCTGAACATCTTCTGACTTTGGGAGTGTCCAAAAGACAGCGACGCTGTGCGGGAGGCAGCGGTTTGGACGTCAGCCCACTCCTGCTTCTCTGACACGCCGCAGTTTCCTCCTTCTCCTAGAGTTAATCGCCCGTGAAATAGGACAGCATTTCGAGCGTCACTGGTGTCACTGGTGTCACTGGTGGCTCCCAGGAAACACAAACACTGCTGGCTGGAGAGCTCCATTCACCAGCTCCCTGCTGTTTCCCATGTGCCCAGTGGGGCGAAGGTCAACGGTTTTACCGGCAAGTGGCCAAAGGCGCTGGGTCTCCTGGGTCGCCAGATTTAATGTGATCCACATGAGCGGCCCTGTCTCTCCTCATCACTCGGACCATTACGGTTCTCTCTCTGCTCAAAAGAATAGCAAAACTCGACGGCTGCCCAGGGCAGAAATCCCATCCCTGTAGCGATTGGCTCTGAGGGACCTCATCTCTAAAGATAACATTCACTACAGAAACTGCAACAATCTTTTCCAAATAACGTATCAGTTCTTGGCTACGTTGTTCAGTCGTAATGGTGCTTCTGGGAATTCTCGACAGGTCCTGTTCATCGGAGACTCCACTAACCGTGGGATGATGTACTACTTCATGGAGCGAGTCAACGGTACCCTGGAGGCCTGGGACAAGGCCCACGACACCATCATGTACCATAATGTCAACGACGGCGGTACCCTCATCAGTTACTCCTATTACCCGCAGTTCTGGCTGGACAGAAGCCAGAGGCCCACTTTCGAGAGAGCTCTCCAGCAGCTCATCGAGAGGTACGACACCCGGGGTCAGGGAACCGGATCTTTAAGCTCCTCTTGGTCTGACCTTCTGCCCACCAGATCCCTCTATCTTCATTTCAGGTCCCATCCACTGGAGAACTCGCCTCAGACAGTGCTGGTTGTTGGAGGAGTACAGTGGCTCACCCCCAATCATCTGAAGATCCTGCAGCAGGTCCTCAAACGGTACATTTCTTATTTAAACTAGACCAGAAGGTGTAATTTGGGGAAACCAAATCCCTGTCACAGATCGTAACAGCAGTTTGTTCTAGGAGTCTTTTTTCATTTCCTTTCCTGTGGCTTGTTAATGGACAGAATATAGTTAGTTGTCTGTTTTACGAGTTGAAAGACATAGAGTAAGTGTTTGTATTCTGGGGTGTTTATGAGTATGTTCCGCATTAGTGAATGAAACTAGATATTAAAGCCAGTCTCTATGGTGATATTTCTGTTTCAGCTCATCATTGTTCACTGTATTTTTCACTCGCTACACGTAGAGCAACAGTAACTGGCCACAGCTTTTTTGGGCACAGATTGTGCAGGCGTGTGCAGTGGAGGGAAATTAATTTGTCTGAGTATGGCGGGACGCTCATGTTCCTGAGGAACACTCCTCCATGTGATCCATTCTGCTGTCTCTCCTTCATCCGTCGTTTTCTTCCAGGGAAAACCTCCACAAAATTCTGGTGATGGTGAAGACCATTGGAATGGGCTTCCATCTCCCAGTGGATGGAATTCATTCCTTGTCTCTGGTGAGTTCTGCATTGTTCTGCGCTCCAGCATTACTAAACTCATGCATAATCAGTTGCCAAAATTAGCAACATATGATATTTGTGAAAGCTTGCTTTATTAATGGAACCCAGCGTGATTCACATAATATTGGCTGTATAATCACTATATATTATCCGTGATGTATTGTAAGTCTGTTGTACCAGCACAGTTTGCATTTCTGTGGAGTCCTTTCAAATCTATTTCTCATACCTCCCATCAGAGAGGAGTGCAGGAGCTTCATAACCTGAACCAGAACATTCTCACGACCGCAAAGCTTTATGGGTATGAGGTCATCGACACCCTCAGCGTAACTATGGGTCGATACAAGGAGTTCCTTCAGGGAAAATGCGCGTGCCACTTTCACGAGGTACCGTCAGTCGCTCCATGCCGTTACGTATAAACATTTTCATTGAGAAAAAGCTTTTATCAAAGCAACATACTTTGCAGAAAGCCTGGAACAGTAGAGGGGTAGAGGTCTTGTTCGAGAGCCCAATGCTGATATCACTTTGCTGACAATGGGATTTGAACCCGCAATCTTATGGTGACTAGCACAGCTGCCTTTTACTAAGTCTTCACACATTTGGTTTTATGTTTATTATTCCATGTAGTAGCATATTTGTACAGCCCCTGGCTTAAAATTAAGTCAAAACTCCGGTTTAAGAAACACTTTCTCACCAATGATTTCTTAGTGTTTCCCTGAGAGACGAGAACGCCTCCTGTCAAATCACAGGACAGTTAAAGATACGACTGTCTCTCTCGGTTAGACATTCAAGGCAGCTGCCACTTTCCGAAAACACCGCTGCTCCAGCCCGTGCGTGGGACCCGTTAATGAGCAATTAAGCAATTACCGACGGGGCTGATTTTCATTAGCTAGCGCAGTGCATGTTGGTACCAGATGTGCGGTGACGTTTGTCCTGAGCGTGATCCTGTTCGAGCGGCACGAGTTTCTAATGATGTGGGTGCCGCTGGCCAGCGGCAACATTCTTCACCACTTAACTGTGGCTAATTCCCTTCAGTAAGGCTGAAACGAGAGAAGAAAAGGGAGGACTCTGCCTGACACCCAAACACGTCGAAGGCTGTATAGAGCTCTGATTTACGCTGGGCATAATCTTTCTTTTTGTCGAGTAACACGCTACTATTCCACATTAATGTCTGTGACTACATTATGTAATGTTCACAGTTCCACCCCACTGAAAAAATGTAGCTAAATAAACCAGAAACAAAGGAATGAAATTAAGTTAAAATGCATCGTTTCTTAATAGCTGAATATAGTAATGTTTCATATGATTTTGTCTTGCATCTGAATTTGGAAAGAGCAGATTGTGGTGCAAAGGATTATGGGTGAGCTGTCTGTGACTTTCCGCAGGTTGGAAAGCTTGCATTTCCCAAAGGGCCTCAGCACAGGGACGCAACGCTGTACCGACAAGCAGCTGAGACGTGGCTCGGACCCAGCGGGACGCTGGATCTTCAGGAGCCGGGCTCCAGGGCAGATTCGTCCTATCACGTCAAAGGTCCCGTGAACCAGGTCTACTCAGAGGTCCTTCTCAGCAGGATGTGTGGCATAAAGTCAAGGAACATAGCTGCTGGGCCTCGCTGAAGTGAAGACTACCGCAGTGTGTGTGTGTCTGTGTGCGTGTGTCACTTCAGTCATGAAAGCAGTTCCTGGAAGGTCACTACACTTTGTTCCCCTCTGATTGGCTCAGAGTCGACCCATGTCACGTGACTTCTGGCTCTGTGCAGGGACCACAGATTGGTGGGATGAGGAGAGACTATGTGGACTTGAAGTCTTCCCAATACTGAGAGAGAGAGAGAGAGAGAGAGAGAGGGAAACTGCATTGATTTATTCTGGTGCAAACCGCTCTGAACAAAAAACCACAGCAAACACTGCTGATGCTTCCATAGGCTGTCAGGAGAAACACAATGTTTTCATAATGCTGCTGGGATGTTTATGCGCAATGGACTGAAAGAGCAGGCGAGTGGCGGATGACATTGTGGGGACGTCCGCAGGGCACGTGGGTACGAGTGCCTTTCTACAGATGGCCCAGCTTCCTCTGTACTGTATACCTCACTACTTTAAAATGTTTAATCATGTGAAATGCCAAAGATCTTTTGTATAGTTAAGCAAATGTATTATTTCCTATATTCCTATAAACATATATATATATATCTGCACATATATATTTTTACAAACTTTGAGTGAAACTGATGAAAGAACAGTATTTGTCGACTGATAATGTATTATTATGTATGTATACTTTTCTGTATTTTTCTAGCAAATATTCGATTGGTAATTGAAGTGTTTTCACCTCTATCTTTTGTACAGTGAGATTTGGGTTTGAAATGAGAACCGAACTGGTTTGTGGGAATGAAAAGTTATTTTTTAAAATTGAATACATTATTTCTATCAATAATAAAATATGTAACCTTGCACAAACTGCAAACTAGGCAGGATTCATATTTATCGATTTCAGGCTGCTTTGTATGTTGCTTTGCATAAACAGTAAGATGCTGATGAAGGAATAAACGTGTATTGCACTGTAATAATTGTATAAATATTGTGGTTTTTTGCAGGTAAACGTTTTATTAAAACATTTTCCAATGTAGCTTTGTCTCTTGCATTGTTCCTGAGCTAAAACTGAGATGATACATTTAGGTATAAAATGTAGCACTTAAATAATTTAGCCTATTTCAGCAGCATGAAACAAAGCAGAAAAAATACATAGCGTTGTTTTTAATTCTATGTTTGTTTCGACAACTCAATACATGGCAATAACAGACCTACTGCTACATAATAAATTAATTCAATTACTGGATAGAGCGACACTGCACATTGCAACACATAATCTTGAATATCGAGGTAACATATTGTTAAGATCGCGGCGATCGTGCAGGCAGGAAGCGGCGAGGGACGAGGCCAGCAGGCAGAATTGCGGGAAACGAGGGTTTATTCGGGGAAACAGGGCAGACAGCGAAGCACAGAACATCAATGACGGACCCCCAAATAAGGAAGACGTGGACTAATATACATGAAATAAGCCGAAATAACAGGGAACAGGTGATCACAATCGGGAATTAATGCGAGGTAACGAGGGGGGCGTGGCACACAGGAGGAGCGAACGAGCAGGTCATGACACATATCCTACGAAGTTTTATATATAATACATATGTTTTTATGATTGCTCCATATAAAAGCAAGGATGCTAAAATTCAGTTCTTATTTAATTATTAAATGACAAACAGCGAGATTTATTTGACAGCTCCTTTTTGTAAAATTGAGAAGTATATTAAAACATCCGGTCTGTGTGTTTCATGCAGCACGTGACTCACATTTTACGCCCCATTACCGTGGTGTCTTTTCGGGGTTGGGGGGCAGGGGGTCCGTCTCTCGAATTAGACCCAGTTGTTCGCTTGAATTTCATACCATATGTAAGAATTAAGCCCTTTAAATCAGCCTGTGTAAAGGAATCCGCTAAGCAAATTCTCGGTGTAGTGTGCTGTAATGAAGCGCAGTGCGTCTCAGCGGGGAGGTCGGTCTGTGGGAGTTTTGGTGGAGTGCCGTCGGTGGGAGTTTTGGTGGAGTGCCGTGTTTCAGCACAGCGGATCTCAGGTCCGCCTGATGTTGGTTAAAACTGATGTCTGAAATTCAGCCTTAGCACATGAATGCAGGAACGAAGGCCGTATTCACGGAAAGACTTAATTAAATCGTACAAGGCGTAGTCAGAGTTCACGCCGTAGATTGGGAGATCAGAGTCGCCGTTATTATTCACTTTCTGAGGGCCTGCACATTGAATTACCACGATGAAAGGTCACGCTGCAAAGATCTGGACTTGTGAAAAAAGAACTAGACTTAAAATGCCGATTGTTGAGAGAAACTATGAACGTTGTGAAATGATTACCTTTATTGCTATATAATACTAGTCAGAAGTTGAGAGAACAGCTGTCTGTTTTTAAATGCAATGCCTTGTGTGTAACATTAGCGTATGACGTCTCCCCGAAGGTCAAACATCACTTGCCTCGTGAAACAAGTTATAGAAACATATAACAAGTTATAAGGAAATTATTGAGTTCGTCTGATATCAACTGCAAATTGCGTGGGTTTACACAATGCAGTTTATTTCGTATTTTTTAAATAATGCCATCAAAGTTTTGTGCGAAAATTATAATGGCTAACCATTTATAAAAAAGGCTTTATACATACACATTAACACTATTTTTTTCGGCAGCGCACGTTGTTATTTTTAATTCTATAAACGAAAAGAAAAAACCGATAGATGAGTGCGAGATTTCTTACTTTTGAGAACATATAGGATAAGCTAGTAACTGTCGTTGTCCTTTATAAAATTTATTACCGTAACGTTAACCATGTATGGGAAAACAGACCACTCCTATGGAAACACGACAAAATTCCTGTTCATAGGTATGGGAAATGCACAAATTACAAAAAAATGTACATTAATTGTTACTGTAATTTTCGCGCAAAACTGCTAATATTTATAATATTTATAATTTATAATTTTATAATTGTGAAATAAACTGCATATGTCAAATTATTTTGCATCATGATTTGTGTTTTTTTTTTTTTGCTTAGTAGCCTATTTAATACATTTTAATTAATACACTTCAACGTGTCACTTCAATTCACGTACATTAATTAATTTTCACGCAGAAAGAGTATGCACTAAATACAATTTCAACATAACTGAGTATAACTGCAGCCCCAAAATCTACACTTTTATTTTAAGGCTCATTTTGTGCGCAGCACCCAGCTTGTGTACCAAAGATTCAATAGATCAAGATTCTGACGATAATAATAATAATAATGAGGAGGAGGAGAAGAAAAATCTAATTGTTTATTATTGCTATGATAATCATAATTGATATTATTGTTGCAAATTATTGATACAACTGTAAAATGTTTCACAATTCAATATACAACACACACATCCTGAATGGATTCAATTTTTGTTGAAATCCAGCTGTTTAAAGCAGGTCATGTTCAGTAAAAATATAAACAACAGAAATTTTTTAACAAATTTATTAAGTAAAATTGCTGTTAAGTATTTTTTTTTTCAATTATTCATCGATATTCAATTTAGCTATTTGTATTTATGACGATCTTCGAACCACATGTAGCCCTGTAAGGTCATCCCTTTCCATCTTTCGGCCAATTATGTTATAAAATCGACACATCTTCTGAATATTAATGACCTTTTAGGCCAATCAGAGACGTGATTTCGGCGCAGGAGGAACGTTCAACCCACAGTCCGCAAGACGGAGATAAAATGGCATGTTTAGGGACAGCTACGCACCAATGAAAGTTAATCATATTAATCTACGATCAGCATCAAATACTGTCCGCCCGTTACATCTCACCTATCAATCGTCATTTAATGGAGGTAACAAGAAACTTTTTTCTGGATAACCTCCAGAAGCGGGACATAATGGCTAATATGTAATTCTATTCGATGGATTTGGACACTATACGCTAACATGCTGCAGTCTTAAATGAGGCGGTCATGGAGAAAAAAGATTCTTGTGGAATATTTAAAGCCTACACAGTCATTTTCTTGTTTTCCTTGTATCCCCTTCTCTGCCAAGGAAGCTGGATGTAAGTACTGTGTCTTTGTTACTCAGCATCCTGAAATATTTTTTTTTATCTTAATTCACATTGTTGATCTGTCTTATTTTTGTTGTTTTAGAATAGCCTATCATTGTCAAGATAAGAATGTCAATATTAGTATTTTAAAAATTGTGGTTATGGTTTTTGGGTCTATTTTTTAGGTGGCTGGGAGTTACATCCGCGGGTGTTCCGGAGAAAATGACTTGCTCGAATATACCTTTAACAAGCAAACAGAAGGATATATGTAAAAGAAAACCGTATCTCTTAGCGAGCATCCGGGACGGCGCGCGTCTGGGCATCGCCGAATGTCAGACTCAGTTTAAGCACGAAAGGTGGAACTGCTCCACCAGGAGAGACCGATCCGTCTTCGGGTACGAACGGAGCAGCGGTAAGTGCGACCTCTCATTTTTAGTGTTTTTCTGCCGAGAATTTCAGAATTCATGGTAAATTCTTTGCGTCACATTAAACTATAAATAGGCTACAGGCCATAAGAATCATCTTACAGTCTTTCCAGGCAATTATGTCTAAATCGATTTAGTGAAATCTACAATAATCCGATTTCTATTTCAGTACTCACATAGCTCGGCATTTCTCTCTTCTTCGATTACAATTTAAATCATTATTTATGTAATCTCTTTCTCTCTCTCTACATATATATATATATCTATATATAAATCTACGACAGAATTTCAGGTCCACTTTGTGTAGTACCGGTTGCTATGATCAATTGCATCAGTGTAAATTGGAAGCTTCACAAATCGCAGAGCGCATAGTCTGCTTTATGTATGCGGTAAGTTAAAGGTAAAAATGACAGTTTCGCTCCGGTGAGAGTTGTCTGATGTGCGGAGCAGCAGCTGGCGCTCAATAAGCGGACGGCACCCAGAAACGCCGCACATCTGCTGCGATTTTCCCGTCTCAGCAGACCACTTATCCACGGGCAAGTGCTGTCTTTGAAATGGGCATTACGTCCTAATCCCACATTTAATCCTGTGGGATTATGGTAATTATGGGATCCTGAAACGTGTAACGTTAGACACCGTAACGGTGAAATACGTCCCAAAAAATGTCTGGTTCCCAGATAGTGTACACCAACAGGACACATACATAGTGAAATAGTCCCTTTTTTTTTTTTTAAAGAAAACTTACAATCTTAAATTTTATAACAGATATTATTAAAGAATATTTTTTAAATAATAAATGTCAGTCTCATTTTATACATTTTCAATGTTTTATCAAGCGAGGTGTGTCGGGTTTTGTTTAAGCCTAGTTCTATATTTGAACCATTTTGATTATTCATTTAATTGAGTTTACCGTTTTTACACAAGTCTTTGGGTATTAGCATGCCGATTAGCATAACTGATCACAATCTATTTTATGCTGTGTATTGCCACTGTGAACAACTTTGAAACCGGTCTAACTACACCTAATTACAAATATTTTATCGCAATGACTGTTACAGTAAGAATTTCTGTAAAGAAAGTAGGACATTTTTACGCGATTTATGGTGAAACAACAAGCTTTAAATAGGTGGGCCTATCTTAATATCGTGATATTTTAAAAAATTTTAAGTGAATTACATGGGGAAGGACCTTGAACTTTAAATGTAAAGAAATCCTTGGTTTAAAAAAGTATAGTATTTGGTTTGGATTTATTTGGTAATTTTATTATAAGGGATGCATGAAGTTCAGTGGGCAAAGCCTCTGTACCTGTGACCAGAAGGTTGCTGGTTCGAGCCTGGCCTCACCGTGTCTGCGAGTCTTTGGGCCAGGCCCTTAACCCCCAGCTCCCTGGGCAGCGGTGAGTGGCTGCCCTTCACAGCCAGCTTACTCCGACCTACAGAGAGCAAGCTGGGGTTGGCGTAAAGAGAATTTCCTCACAGGGATCAATTTATTGTATGTCATTTATTCAAACCAGTTGAGATACAGTGATACAGGTTTTAATAGGTTATACGGTATGAACTTTATTGTTGTTCAGTTATTAACATTTTAACATAATCAGCAGCTATGAATTTAAAGCGATTTTGCAATGTGAGATCTCCACATTACACTGCAGTTCACAGAAAAATATGGAGCATGATGACTTAAAAACAATAGAATAATGGGTTGGAAATGCCTGGAAGATGATGAGTTTATATCTGTAAATCAGTCGTAAGCCTGGTATTTGTGATGGCAGTGTGACTGTTTGACGGAGATGCTGACGTTCTTCACTGTTGTCTGCAGGGACGAAGGAGACAGCCTTCATCTACGCAGTGATGGCGGCGGGGCTGGTGCACGCCGTGACGCGCTCGTGCAGTGCCGGGAACATGACGGAGTGCTCGTGCGACGCCAGCCTGCAGGCCGGCGGCTCGTCCAGTGCAGGCTGGCACTGGGGCGGCTGCTCCGACGACATCCAGTTCGGCACCTGGTTCAGCCGCAGGTTCATCGACAGCGGGGTCTGGAACATCTCGGCTAAGGGGGCCGATGCCCTGGTCAGCATGAACCAGCACAACAACGAGGCTGGGCGGCAGGTGAGGGGGAGGGGGGCGATGTTTGCTGATGGTACATTGCGGGGGGGAGATGGGACTGGATTATGCCGCTGCAGCTTTATGAAGGCTGTGATGACACAGATAATATTTAAAAGCCCATAGACAGGTGTTGCTAGCCAGCCAGCAGGGGGCATGGTGGTTAAGAACAAAGCCCCATAGTCGAAATGTTATAGATTTGTATAAATATAACATCCGCCTGTAAAACTGTACAAAACGGACAGAACCATCAGCCAAGCAGCAAAGTAACATGTATGAGACGACAACGCATTAAATTGGTCGTTAACAGCGAACGGTGGAAACCGAACTAAACGTTTCTTCTCACAAGTCTTAATGGGAAATGTTAGTTTATCCCTTCCCGTTCTTCAGCCGGGGGTGAAAGTCCGGCTCACGAGAAGGCAAGGAAGCATGCAAAAAATTTTAAAGCATTTCAGGCAGCCATTCCACGCTAACGTGCAAGCACAACCTGAGCAGTGGCCTAGCTGGCTAATGAGCATCATGCTAACATGTTAACGCAGAGTCGGGGTCAGACAGTCTGTCTGCGCCGTCCGCCGCCCAGGTCTGTCCTTGGGGGACCCTCCCTGCTCTCGTCGCTCTGTGAATGACCCCATAAATCAGGAGGTCAGTGTGCCTAAAAGAAAAAAAAAAAGCTGACACGGTCAGCTCAGTGAGCGCTCTGGAGAAGCACACAGTGTGTCTGCAGCCTCCCCTGGTGTAAAAATCGATTTCCACACAGCAAGCGTCTTGCTACTGTGAATGTAAAGCTCACTTGTGACGTCCTGGCCAGTGAAGAGCCGAGCCCGTCCAGGTTTTCAGAGCACACTAGCTTGGTCGACTTCCATAGTGTCCTTTGACCTTGCACAATCACCGCAGCTTTGGCAGCTACACTAACGTTACGCAGAGTCTGCCCGTCATCCATATTTGGTTTAAAGTTTGTAGCGAAAATGGTGGTTGGGGGAAATATCTCACTGCTGCCCCCAACAGGCCGTGGCAAAGACGATGCTGACGGACTGCCGCTGCCACGGAGTCTCGGGTTCCTGTGCCGTGAAGACCTGCTGGCGGACGTTGGCCCCCTTCGAGCGGGTGGGCCGCTTCCTGAAGCAGCGGTACGAGGACAGCGTGCACATGCTGGACCGCATCAAGGGGAAGGTGCGCCGCAAGGAGAAGGAGCAGCGGCGCATGCCCGTGGTCAAGGACGAGCTCGTCTTTCTCAACAAGTCGCCCAACTACTGTGTGGAGGACCGGCGGCTGGGCGTGGCGGGAACACGGGGCCGGCGCTGTAACCGCACGTCCAGCGGGCCGGACGGCTGCAGCCTTCTGTGCTGTGGGCGGGGCTACAACACGCACGTGGTGCGCAGCGTCGAGCGCTGCGAGTGCAAGTTCGTCTGGTGCTGCTACGTGCGCTGTCGCCGGTGCGAGAGCATGAGCGACATGCATACCTGCAAGTAGCGCTCGAACCCTGGACCAGGACCCCCCCCGATACGCACGGACGCCCATTCTCGGACACAGGTGATCATTCCCCAATAAACAGCCTACAACTGCGCACTCAGGAAATGGACATGAACAAACAGTGATCCCTTGGTGAGATGGACCCCCCCACTCTGCTGCTGTATGGGGGCTGCATAGAGTGCCAGTGCATTTTAAAGCCCCTCGAGTTTGAGCACTGAACTGGCTCCATCGACTCAAATGTGACTGATTCACTCAACATACGCCTGCGGCTCTGTCTTCACTGCAGTTTGGATGCAAGAGCAGACCTGATTGGCTACCAATCAGAACCCTAAAACTATCTTTGGGGCTGTTTGATTGGCCACCTAGAGGTTTAAATTATGAAAGGATTCAGAAGGGAACATGGACAGGTGCCTGACAGTGAGTTCCTGAAATTAGGAGAATGTTAATAATAAAATATTTACTTTGAATAACTTTGTGTTTGCATATCTTTACAACCTACAGACATGATTAAGCCCAATGTTATGTTAAATTGTTAACATTTTGTACTATTTAATAGTACCACTGCCTAACTTTGGTCCTATTACTGCCCTAAATCCAATGTTATATTCACGATTTAAAATTGATTTAGCTACACCGATAAACCTTATTTCTAAGCGTTTTTAAAATGTAATTTAATAAATAAGCATTTTAAAATGTTTTTGGTCTTTACATATGCTTTGGAAGATAGTTATTTTGAAATGATTTAACCCAGACAGTCAAACACGGCAGAACCAGTAGTCTATACCTATATATTAAAGTAGTATTTTTTCAATTGTTAATTTTTATATTTGTAAATATTAAATTATGCATAAAAACATTCGGAAAATAGGGTTTTGAGTATCAATGGATTTCATCACGATACTGGTGTGTCGTATCGAGACAGTTTTGCAGTTTGATTACTGTATACCTGTCATTAATTCTGTATATGTTTTTCTCATTACTACAGTATGGTCATCTGTGAAGCACGCAGTCCTATATAAGACATATATTCGGTGTGTGGTCCATTCGGAAACCCCTTTGGGTTCATTAATTGCAGTGGCTGGTCTTGAAGGGAATTCTACTTTCAGCGCGTAAAATGTGCGCCGTTGTCCCGCTTTCCGGTCTTTGCGTCTGTTGGTGATTTGTGAGAAGCGACAGACCTGTGCTAAATACCGCGGGTGCTTTCTTTCAAAGGGGCTTAAGGCTAACTAAGTGCCCCCTCCATGTGTTGGGTCCTGGACGCAGGGAGTCACGTGCCTCCGGAAGACAGTTAGAAAATACCACATCTGACGCAGAAATCAGACTCAATGTTAAAACGGCTTATTTGTAAGATGTGTAGAGCAAATTAAAGTCGTTCAAAGGTATTACTTTCATTAACATTTAATTGTGTGTTTTTCATGTTTATGGGAAATATTTGTGACACATTTACAACACATCAACATATAGCCTATAGTAATATAGTGCTTGCACGTGCTTTTTCCTGTATCGCTGCTTCTTCGCAAATTAAATCCTCGGGAATTGCAGTCCTACAATATTCCACATGGTGACAGTTTCCTTTAAACAAATAAAGGTTTAATTTTCTTACATATTGTAACCGTACAGTGTTTAATGTCTGCTTACTACCGTCTGTGCAATGTTTATGTGAAGTGTGTGTGTGTGCATTTAAAACACAGGAGGGTAACGATATCGAATTTGTATTCACAATCTATAGCATTTCCAGCGCATAGGGAAAGTTTCCAAACCCATACAAGCTGTCCACATTTTGTTACATTTCAGACTCATCATAAAACGGATTAAATACATTTTTAATAATCAATCAATCAATCTACACATAATACTTGACAATGACAAAGCAAAAACAGCTTTTTGGAGTGTTTTGTTAATTTATTAAAAATAAAAAAACCGAACTATTAACATTTGGGTAAGTCTTTAGACCCCTTCACTTAGTACTTAGTTAAGGCACCTTTGGCTGCAATGAGAACGGCAGAATGGCCCCACAAGCTTGGCACACCTTTCTTCTGGAATTTTCTGCCATTTTTCCTGGCAGCATCGCTCAAGCTGAACCAGGTTGGACGGGGAGCGTCGGTACCTTTCAGGTCTTTCCAGAAATGCTCTTTTGGGTTCAGGTCCGGACTGAAATCTTTCCGTATGCGCTGCATGTTCCTTAAATGCGGCCGGGCCGCCCACATTCACACCTGATTGCCATCCTATTCATTGAAATACCTGTCACTAATCTCCCCTTCAAAAGGGCTGATAATATGAGTGGTTCACATACTTTTTCCACGCACAAAAAAAAATACATTCGGTCATTCTCCTTAATAAATGAGGAAACATGTATAAAGTTTGTGTTATTTGTTTAGTTGCGTGTCACGTCTAAGGAATGACTAACTATATACAAGGCAGCACGAGGGATACAACCCAGGAACTAAAAACACCCAAGGAGGAGGCCAGACTAATGCTGAAATACCGGAAACATTCACGCCAGGAACGGCACAGGGAATGATGCTGAGGGCGACAGTGACCGAGCTGGGGGACACAGAGAGAGCGGGTACGTATATACAGCGCACAGGATTGGCAAACGAGAGAAGGGTGTGACAGGGTAAGACAAGAGGTGACGACGGGATGACCAGCGACTTCTGCTGGCCAAACGGGCACGGAGGTGGATCATCACATTGGGTTCTCTTTATCTAGTTTTAGGACTTATTAATGGTTATATTTATACAGGAATATATTCAATTCTAAAGGGTTCACAAACTTTCCAGCGCCAGAGGTGGCCACGTGGATATAAGTGCCTGTGACGGGCTGATGGCCCCCGCCTCCTACTTCCCGCGTTTCCTAGGCATGACACCCACAGAGACTCTTGATAGCTCTGATGAAAACGTTCTTAGCACGTTCATTCATACCATATGCCATGACTGATAACATCTGTAGATGGGAAAAGCAGCGCAGATGCGCTCCTGTTATTTCTCAGATCACATAAAAATATTCAAACCACGTGGTTCAAACTAATAGTCGGATTGGTCTTATTTCTTTAGCAGAACAATTTTTGAATCGTGGAACAAAAATCGTGGATAAAATTTATGCTTCACACAAACTAGCATTTCTCATTGTTGTCTTTTCCCGGTATGTTACTAAAACTTGAATGAAGACAAAATGGTTAAGATTTGTTTCACAGCATTTCCCAATAATTTTTTAATACCTATAAATAATGACAGAAGTAGAAGAAGACTGCTTTTTTTAGTGGTCAACTTTAAAAAATCGCAATTCAGCTATAATTTTTATTGCTTTGGATAGTGGGCCTAATGTTATTTTTGTTTTACACCAATACATACGTATAAAATGCCAGTTGCTGCCAGTAAAGTTCCAAATATCGGAGCCCTTTCCAGGAGCGCTGTGTTATGTCTTATAGGTGGTGACTATTATACCGTATAATAGCGTATATGTACACCAGCTTCTCCTCTGATTGATTCGCATTTCCGACAATATTAGGTTGTTATACGGTAAATCTATTTTTAAGAGGTGGATTTACTACGTATACTCGCGTATACCTACCTGGTTTCCAGTGACCCACAGGTGCTTCCAACTTCTAGTCAAGTTTAGCGCTTCCAACAACCATCACCTCCCAGTGCAACGGAACCGAACCGCGGTGACGGCCCAGTGCTGCATGTCAGTCCGTTGGTGGGTTTTGACGCTATGAACAAAATAGGGAGCTCTGGATGGTGGTATTAGCCTACTGTATATTTGTATACGGTCAAAAACAAAAACAAAAAAGAAATGACGAGACTCTACTGGTGTTCTTTTTAAAATAATATATAAGATTACCACCACAATCAATAAAATGCTAAATATCGCCCGCTGATGCTTCATAATAGGCCTGTACAATATTTTAGGGCTATTGATTCTTTAAAATTTAAAAGGAAAGTGGCCTTATTTGAGCATTGAGTTTTGTGGTCTGTTCTGCCATCTAGTGGAGAATCATCAAAAATAATGTAAAGTTTTTAAGGTGAAATTTAGTTATCAAAAATTGATCAAGAGTTAAGTAAGATTTTTTGAGTTAATCCGCCTAATTGAATATTAACCTACTCTTTAAAGGCCACGATGCTATTAACGGCTCTTACCGGGTCACTATTTCACTACTGTATAATATTTCACCCGTATCAATCACAATCTTGAAATCTGGCCCAAATGAATGCTTATTTTGGGGACATTTTTACATCCTTAATTTTTTATAAACTCAAATTAAATAACCTATGGTTCATTTCAATTCACACGACGTGTGCAAGTATGAGTCAAAAACTAAATCTGGCATTCGTTTCAGTTTTATACAGACTGAAAAAATACGATTTTAAAAGTAGTTTACACTGGGCAATTAATTAATCATGCAGCCCTGTTAAAAGGTCACGCTAAATAGCCAACCGCGGACATACGGTACATGGGAACGAAAATGTTTCCTCTTGTTTTTAAAAAGACGCTGATTTATTTACAGGCCGGAAAAGTAATACATCAGTTTAACCTTTTTCAGCTTTGTGCTTGGTTGATCGTCTTCTTGGCCATCAAGACAACTATTTTTTGTTTTGTGTGGCAGGAACAGGATTTCATACCAAACCCAGACCAAACATACTATGTTCCAAATTAACAGTCATTCAGGGCCTTTGGAATCGTGCAAACTTTCCCCCCCTTTACGGCTGCAACCATGCCCGGGCTGCAACCATGCCATAGAGGGGGGGGGTGCAGGACAGGGGAGCTGAATTTAACAGAGGCTTATGAACGAGCAAATTGGGGGGAATGCTACAGTAAATAAATTAATGATTAAAATATAAATGAAAACAGTCAAGTGGTAGAGATTTTTCTATCCATAAATTCACCAGTACAGAAGAGATGGTCAGAAAAACTGTTTCTCTGGATTAGGAATCCATTCAAAGCAGCACTCAGAAATTGTCAGGTCTGGTAAGATTTACCAGGACATGTCTTCAGGCTGGTTTGTGCTTATGGGTAATAACTGGTAATAACTGAAATTATAACAGCGAAAGGGACACATTATCAAACGACATCCAAGTAAAATTTACCCAGAGTACTTTTATGTATCTCTCATTTTCCCTCCTTGAGCTATGAATGAGGGAAACTTTACTTTCGGGGGGGGGTGGGGGGGGGGGGGGGGGGGGGGGGTGGTGGTGTACATATAAAGTTGATTAACTTGGTGGGCACATTTCTCCGAAGCAGCTTTGCAGTGAGTGAGTAGGACATGCCCCCCCAAGGCGTTGTAATTGACGCTCTTGCCTGGTTTCCTCTGCTGGGCCCGCTGCTCTAACAGGGGGGGCTCTCTGACGGAGCCGTCCGGAACGGGGGGCTGGGGACTCGCCACACCTGCCCGGGTCGCGGGTCTTTGCTGTTAAAACGGCGGATGTCCTTGGGTTAAGATCATAAATGATTCCCATCTTAACAAACTTGG